GCTTATACATTGATTTAATCTTAAATTTCTACCTGAACTACGTTTTCCATACTTATGTTTGACATTGCTAATAAACTTTTTCTGTTATTTTCCAGTGAAGATATAATGATAGCCGAAGCAGCTTCTTCAGTGGACTCAGCTGTTGGTTTGCCAGAATTTGATTGTATACACAAAGTGCTGTATAAAGCGAGACATTTTGAGCAGCCAGCACTTCCGAAAAGTGTTGATGACATACATACTCTGGACTGAGAAATATAAAAAAACAAAAGATGGCAGAAACTTCTTGCTCGGTGATGATGGGACCGGAGAAGATAGGCTATTGGTAAGAATATTTTTTCTCTTTGAAACCGATAAAAAATTTTTTTTTAAATCGAAGCTTAAACGTTTTGTGTGTTATGCATTCGTCTAAGAACAAACTATGCATGCTATGCATTATACTCATAGTATATGATAACAGAGCAAGTGTGTTTTTTATTACTTATAATTACTGTTTAACAGGTCATAATATAAAAAAAAATCTATGTATGAATGCGAAATTTTTAACTTAGTTTACATGAATGTATTTAATTTAAACTTGAAAAATTACATCATATAAATTTTATCTAATAAATATCTTTTTTAATATANATATATGTATAAAACATACACAATAAGTTGGCCTTAATATGAGGTTTAAAACCTAGAAAGCAACATATATATGTTCAAATATCAACTTTTAAATACCTTTCATACCAGCTTTTTGATAAATTGTACTTATCTCTCTTTTCAGATATTTTGCACAACTGATAATTTAAAAAGGATGTGCTCCTCCAAAAAAATTTGGGGTGATGGCACATTTAAGATTGTCCCCCTCCTATTTAACCAGCTCTACACAATCCACGGATTGTATCAAAATGAAATGTTTCCATTTGTATACTGCCTCCTTCAAGATAAGAAAAAGGAAACATACAGAAGATTATTACAGATTATAAAGGAGGAGGCAGGAAAGGTGGATGAAGAGTTTTCCCCGGAAAATGCGATGTTTGATTTTGAATTGGCGGCAATAAATGCCTTGAGAGAAGAAGTGCCAAATGTATCAGTCAAGGGCTGCTTCTTTCATTACA